ACTAACATATCATTATGATTACGTATCCCTCTCCAAAATATCATATCATCAGCAAAAAGCAATAAGTCAAATGAAACTTGTTGAGGAAGATCGTCAATATAAATCAGGAAGAGAAGAGGTCCTAGTATTGAGCCCTGTGGGACCCCACTAGGACATCCCATAGCCTGAGAGAGAGAGAGAGCGAAGTTAACCCTGAACTTAAAGTGTCGGTTTTCTAAATATGAAGATAGTCAGTCAATCAAAGGGGAAATACATTTGCCATGTTTGAGAAAGGAAGGAAAAATAAAATATTAATAATAGAATAGTAATAATAAATCAGGTTCTGCGTAATTGGTACGAATTTCAAATTGATTTTGAAGGAGGAAAGGAAGGAACTAAGGAAATAGAAATAAAGGAGTCGCGAAATACGCAAATATCTTAACGCAGAACAAGAATAAACAACTATGTATGTATAGCAAAAACGATTAATAAAAATAAAATAAAACGGAATAAATTAAAAAGTAAATGACTAACTATTGCGGTAAGATATGACGTTAGAATAAGTGTTTGTGCGTGCAGTCATAGTTTTGGGTGATGCTCTGAAAATTTCAATTAAGTGCAAAAGATAACTTCAATCCACCCGTGTCTGTAGGGCAGAACATATCAATTACGGCTCCTTATGTCTAGTGGGATATCAGGAACCAACGATATTGATGCGAAATTATTCATGAAAAATACCACTTTAGATCATGTTGAAAAAAAGAAAAAAAAAGCTAAATTGGTTTCACTTCCTACCGAGTAATCCTATTACAAGCAAACTAGACAATTGGCTTAAAACGAAGCCCACTCTATACCCTATAAAAGCTATAAACAAAAAAGAGAGTTCAAACAGCTTGGAAAAAAGGGAGACAGCCATTTGTATCGGAATACTGTTTTCAGCACTTTATTTTATAATTACACAATTCCATGCTTTCTTCTGAACTACCTTCATTTATACAGTTCCTTACCCACTCATACCTTGCCCACACTTACTTTTCTTTAACACATTAGTTTGTTCTTACCTAATAAATACTTCAGTAACAAACAAATAGACTAAATGTTTATACATTAACCATTCCTCCATGAATATTGTGTGCTCTGCTTTTCGTCCTTCCTTTTTCTTACACCTTTTTCAGCCTCCTGCAGATACTCCACCGAAAACAGATATGGCACGGGTGACTTCATCCTACACCGTTATTAAAGCCTCAGATATTCCGGAGGGATATAAGTTCGAAACTTATAAAAGCCCCCAACTTCGCATGTATCTATTCTCGACCATCAGTTGTATGTTGCAACGCTACCTCCATAAAGTGCGCCAAGTGTGATATTGATATGTTTCTTACGAAATCTATTTACATTCATATCTTATGAAATATCAACCCAGCTGAGTAATTTTCAACAGTGTAAATTGTAACTTGTTTAACAATTTGATCTTACCTGTAAACCGGCATGCCTCATGTAACAATCTGTTATTTGAGAATAAATTATCATTAGTTTTATTATTATCAATATGTATGAGGTGCATATACATAAAGAAAATAAAACGAGTCTGAGAAATTGAATTCAGCGCAACACAAATTATTGTCTTAATCCAAAGCTTCGTAATTTTAAGAATAACATTTATTTAGAAGGAAAAGTAGAGAAAAATGTTAATATGTCTCATACTTTTGCTCCCCGTAGCATTGATAATCTCCGAATTCATAGCAAGAAGGTTCAGGAGCCGCGATCTAACAAACCTAAATTGGGATCCTGTTTTTCTCATCGAGTGGTCAATGACTGGAACGCATTACCCGAACAAGTGGTGTCGGCTTCATCAGTGAACATTTTCAAGAAGAAGCTGGACCTTCACTGGAAGGCAATCTGTCAGGATTACCACAGGTTCACCAACCTACTATCCTTATTACTGAAGACTGAAAATCCACCCAGTACACTTAGACGTAAAGACCCTTTTACTTGAAGTGTAGAATAATTCTATATGGTTTAAGAGAGGCTATGAATAATAAGCTAGATAAGCCGGTTGGAAAACGGATAATGATCTCATTTGAGTCGTCCAGTTGGGCTACTGTCATTGTGACTCCATAATGAGCGGATGGAAAAAGACCTATGATTTGAGATAACCGCTGAACACTGAGTATTCGGTTATTGCAACAGAGCTGTATCACTGAAGAAACGGAAGATATTCTGTGTAAACTTCGGGGGTCAAGGTATTTTTCTAAAATTACCTGAAAAGTGTGTATTTGCAAATTTCATTGCATGAGGTCTATGGTGAAATAACTACGACTAACACACGATTCGAACATTGTCAAGACTTGTATGTATTATGATGTATTATGATTTGTTCGAACAGAGGCAATAAGTACACAAAAAAAACAGTCAAACTGAAAAAACGTGCTGTTAAACTTAATAATAACTCCTCTGGACTCACCATACTCTTTCAAAATAAACTTAGACGTTCTAAATCGAGAGGGAACATGTATATTAATGACAAAGAAGTATACAAAGATCCTGAACGTAGTACGGAACTAATGAGTGAACATTTTTGTTTTTCATCAACTGAGGAAAAACCACTAAATGATTCCGAACTAATCGCAGCACTTCCCTGTGGGATTATTAATGTAGACTTCAATGTACAAAATATCTTAGGCAATCAGTACATTGAAACGCTAATACACTAATGGACCATATGGCATTCCCGCTAGCACATTAATACGTGGGGGTGATGATATATGTGCTTTACTTCTCAAACTGTAAGCGATACCACTCTGTACAGCGTATTACCCTAATGCCTGAAAAACTACACAGATTATTCCCAAAACTTAAAACAGGACCTGGAGTAAATATTGAAAATTACCGACCCAGAAACATAACTTCAGTGGTGTCTAGAGTGATGGAAAAAGTAGTTAAGGTAGTCCAACATCTAATTGCTAATAATCTCATCTCAGTCTCTTACCATGGATTTCTTAGGTCCAGGTCATGTGATACATGCCTAGTGGGCTACATGAGTGATATAAATTTGAAACGAGACAACGGACTCCTTGTATCAGTCATATTTTTAGACCTATTTGTTTTCAGATTTTAAAGGGTACTGACCAGGCTTCGTTTTTAGCGAATTGTCTTGTTTTTCTTGTGATAGGGTTATTCGGTAGTAAGTGAAACCAATTCAGAGTCACAAACACGATTTATAACGGTATTTTAAATACATTAATAAACATCAATACTATTGGTTCGTGACATCCCACTGGACTATAAGGAGCCGTAATCTAACAACATGTTCTGTCTTACAGACATGGGTGAATTGAAGTTATCGCCCCACCATCATGTTTGCTGGTCAGTAAAGATACCCTCCCTCCTTTTGTGATGTTAGGCTCTCTTACGTTTGTGATGTGTATGGAAATCGCTTTAAACTAAGCTCCTTGTTGGAATACACTGTCTCTACTAGTTGCATGTTACAAGAAAGTTATATGGTTCAAGCTTCTGTGTTGTGGGTTAGATATCCGTCTATAATATAACACTGCTATGAAGGTAACTAACGTTTTAAGTTATAAGACACTGATCAGATTATGTGTTTTATAGATGGTAGGAATTAATAGCAAATCAAAGAATATGTGGGAGTTTAGAATTTTAAAATTTTTCAAAATAGGAAAAGAAAGCATTGAGTGACTCACAAGAATTTAGGACACTTTGAGCTTGTTTTGATCGGCATTAGTTCATCAGGATCCATGAGATTAGTGAGTTTTCTGTCTACTTAAAATGGATAAAAGACATAACACTTCGGAAGAAGAAATCTTTAGTATCGGGAGCGTGCTGTCTTGACCCTAAAAAGATTGGTTTTGCTCCATTATGTAGTCACATAGATAACTTATTAAATACATTCTGTAGTGTAGTGCTTCGTTAATCGATCGTCTTGATAACCATTATTATAACAATTTGAACGGTGTATAATATCAGAAGACAAAGGGAAGCAGCAACTACATTTTTATTGATAAATAACATTAGCTAGAAGGCAGTGAGCACATTAGCAAATGTAAGCAAGCGAAGGAAAGATGACGCAGAGTGGAGATGGCTGGGAAGCCAACTCGTTATAAGCAAGCATTAATCAACATTTATAGTCAGACTAAAATGAATGACAGACATGTGATAGGTAGGATAAGAAGTGTGCATACACATACGCTCATATAAAAAAATAGTCAAGGTCAATAAGCGAATAATTAACAAGATCAAAATATGACTCATAACGTTATAGGTGAATTGGCTTGTTCAGAAACTAGAATAAGCTATGTATGTGTAATATAGTACACGACGTTACACTACTACCCACAATTCCAACTGTGCAGATTATTACTCGATAGCAGACATTAATCTGTCTCAAGCAAACTAAGCGATTTTGAGGAGAAACAATTTAAACAATTTAAACTCTGTCCTCCTAGTTAAAGGAAGAAGTATGACGCGTCATGATGATAGATTGAAATCTTCGGAAGTCAAGAAGCCGGTGCCTCTTGTAACAACCAGAGCAACGATTAATATATGAACATGAAACGTCCGGGCAATTTAAGAGAACCGGAGGATCAATCAAACAGCTATGGAAATGGGGAGACACAAGATGGTGGATCCCGAAGTCAGTGAAACTCACTACGGCAACTGCTACTATGTTGGTTCACCTAAACGTAGACGCTACAAATCATATATTTTTCTTATGCACCGTTGCTTCACAGAATTCCATATTGGCTGTGCTACAAAAACGAGCCGACAACATCATTACACCTCTAGGCTGCGCAAGACCTGCACACAGTTTTAGCTCAGTAAGGTCCAACAACATGCAGTCAGTGTTATTGTAAAATTTCCATTACCCAACATATATTTCCAGCAATTTCATCTCAATATCGTCAGCCCACTCTCATTTTCATTGGGCGAATAATTTCACGGAGAACCAAGAATAACTCAAGTCAACAGACCTGCTGTTTTCGTTGTTGTTGATTGAAATTGAAATTTGTTTAAGCTGTTCAGCATATGTCACCACTGAGTTCCAGCGCTCAATTCTTATCAAGGCCACTTTGTATGCTTTACCTGCCGTTAAGATAATAGGTATGATGTCCCTAACATCTTAGTTGTACAAGTTTTGGGCAGTATTTTTGAATCTGTTGCTGAGGTAACTGAGTTTTCGGTAGGTTGCATTCAGTGTTCACTTATTACCCAGTTTCCCGCCCAAGCTCCCGATTTTGGAGTTTTCCCTAGAATTATTTAGAAATTAGTCGTTTCCCCTCGCATTCGGAAAAATTTTTGTGGAAGACATCGGACCAATGGGAGTTCCGATGTTTCCTCCGTCGTTGACAATTGTATGGGAAAACCTCAAAACTTGGATAGTTCAGTTGGCTAAACACGAATGTCCTGCGTCGAAGATTATTTAAGGCATGATAACAGTCGACATTTTCTTTATATGTCAGAATATCGTACCTTAAGGAATAACAAACTACTGAGGTTCATAAAAGTTTGTATGTTCCTAGTTGGATGCTTTTTAAATTAAATCCTTTTACTTAATCGCGATATTGTCTCCAACCATTGCATTCTACATTATTTTTTAGCTTCGCTTATCTTTATGACCTGGTTTTAATGATCACAGTGTTTTGTGTGATGAAGTAGTCTATTACTATGTCGTCACGACGTGATTCTTGTTTAAGACTTAGTAAACCTTGTTTCTGTGAATTGTCAAACATACCTCACCATTCTTGGAAAAACTTATGCAATATTGAAGGTGGCCCTATTGGACGGTATGTTTACTTTTGGTCTAACACTTTGTATAGTGGGTTTGCTGGTAAAGTTTACAAAATTACTACTAGTAACATGGAGCTACTGGATCCTTTGATAGCAAAAAAGTCCCAACTCGCAGCAACAGTGTATTCGGATATTACTTATGTTGAACCTGGAGAATACTTGGCTTGCAAGGTGATCCGTAGATTTCGTGGAGGAAAGGATACTATTTCTAAAATTACCTCTGAAGTTCAAGCTATGGTCAGTTTGCAAAGAGATCATCTTAATACTTATCATAATTCTGTGTATAATAAGCCATCTGAAAAGCCTTCCAAAATTTGTAACAATCGACTTCCTCCTAAATCAGCCTCACCTACACTGTTTGCAGTTTATAAAGACTCAATGGAAGTTGCCATTATCATGGAGTAGTAAGTCTTTGATGAAATTAAATGTATCGATTGATAGGCCAGCTACTGTGCTGAAAGTTTGAATATAATTCACATTAAAGCTTTTTTACCATCTGATTAAAAATTTATCAACATTTTCAATATTATTGCATTTGAGTTTACAAATCTTCACTTAAGATTCTTGTACAGATGCGTTCCGTATGAACTTGCCAACTTCCTACCTGCATGAAAATGTATTGAATCACTTTGCCGAATCAGCTAAGAGACATAGATCTAACTTAGATTATATTATAGCTTATAAATATTGAAAATATCACCATGTAAATTTATGCAACATTGAAATCTCATGAGTGTCTTAGTTTCAACGTTTGTATTCGTAGTCTAAACCTTTATCTTCACTAATTATCAAGTTAATTATTCTGAAACCAGGTCCAAAAATAATAGGATTCTCCTGAAATATTTTAAGTCTTGAGGCCTTTAAATAAAAAATTTATAATTTCTCGCTCTCAAAACAAAAGTACTAGATCAACATAACTGTGAAATAGAGCTCTACTAAGACGTTTCGTTTTGCTTTTCAATTTTAGTCACCCTTAATGTTATTTTTCTTCTGTCGAGAACTCTTGTAATACCGCATTTCACCTCTTATGGGGAGTAGGATATTGCTAATGGTACTCGGCCAACAGACATTGAGTATCTTGCGTAGACAACTGTTTATCAATACTTGTACATGTGTGATGGAGGTTATAGAAGTTCTTATTTCAGCTCCGTACAGCAGAACTGTCTTAACGTTCGTATTGAAGATTCTCACTTTGATAATGGTTGATAGTTGTTTTGAGTGACATATATTCTTCATTTCTATGGATACTGCCCTTACTTTGCTAGTCAGTGCCTTCTTATCTGCGTCAGATTCTCCTTGTTCATCGGTGATGCTTCTCAGGTACGTGGAAGATCCCACATCTTCCGGAGATTTGTGTGGCGCATATGCATCTGGTACCCCTTCGTACCAATATTACTACCAGGTGGTAATCTGAAGCTATATCAGCTTCTTTCCTGGTACTCACATCTTCCATTGACTTGAATTTTTTGCTGATGCAAATATGATCTATCTGGTTCTCCGTGGTGTGATCTAGTGAGAACCACGTAGCTTTGTGTATGCGTTTGTGTGAGAATATTCTGCGGCCTATACAGATGAATTTGCAAATGTCACCATTCCCATTTCTTTCTCTTAGTCCATGTCGTTCCATAATATCTTCATACCCGGTGTTGTCCCATTCTGACTTTGAAGTCTAGGTCTTTTGTTAGGATAGTCATGCTCTTCCCCGAGCACTTCTCTACGATTGAGTGCAGTTTCCTATAAAACTGATCTTTACCATTTTTATTGCTATCATTGGAGGGTGCATAGCTCTAAATGATATTTACTGTGATCCTCTCCTACTTTGTTTTGAAGGATGCTTTGATGATCCTGGATCCATGAGATTCTAATCCTATAAGTGTTTGTCGTGTTTTTTAAACAGCGTCAGTGCAGCTCCTTGTATGAGCAAAGCATTTTCTTCGTGGCCGGAGCACAGCAGCACCCCTCTCGTATCTACCGTTAGCTGTTCAGTTGAGGTTCAATGGGTTTCTCTGACTTCGAGATCCGCCATCTTGTATCTCCCCATTTCCGTAGCTGATTGATTGGTCCTCCGGGTTTCTTAAATTGCACAGACGTTTCATGTTCCTACATTAATTGTTGCTGTGGTTATCAGAAGGGAAATCTCGGTTTTCACTACAAGGCGTCATAATTCTCTTGAACGAAGATCGTTCCACTCTGAGGACAGATTTTAAATTGTTTATTCTGGTTAGCATTCTTCTGGCAGGTTTTTTTACAGGATTGGGTTGATGACCCCATGTCCAACCCTCCTTTATTCGGGCTTGTGACCAGTGGCAACCCTGGGAGGGTTACAAGGGCTATTGGGAAATCAGGGAATGCGAATATTCTAGTAGGATACGTTTTAAACCATATCATCTGGATTTCAAAGTCATCAAAAGGTTCCATGTTTTTCTGTACCCATCACAAACATCTTTGATTTCTGTGCTCACTTTGCCGCTGCTCTTTAATGTTGTTGTGTGAGCTTGGATAACGAAAGTGATCGATTTCAATACAAATTAACATCACCCAAACTATTTACTTATGTACATTTACAACAAAGCTTGACACCTAACCTTGTCTTTGTGTATTGGCTATGTAAAGCAAACTATCCAAAGGTTTCTAATACTTTTCTTCCAATAACAAACCTTTTGGATCTCCACTAAAATAAGTACATGATGTCAGTTTCTAATAAGCTTTCATAGATTTAGTTCTACTAGTTCAAAGAGATTTTAAAATATCTCTACATGAGTGCTATGTAAATGAGATACAACTTGAATCTTAGGTTTTTCATTTTTCAAATGAGGCTCTTATTGGGGCCGTTATAATATTAAGTAAAACTCGGGAACATAGTTTTTGACAATAAATCAGTTTGTAAATTCTATGGACATACAAGTCAGATGTCGTATAATGAAAATCTGACTTGTCCATCGTAATTTAAATTGCTTATGAATTCAGTATAAAGTTTGCACGATTAAAATTTATTTTCTGCTTCTGTATTTGTAGCTGACCAGTGTTTTCACTGATTAAATGCATTAATATGGATTTGTGACTGCCACTTATCTGTGTATGTTGGTTCAGCTAATCAGTTGACCACTATATAAGTTTTAAATAACACTAAATGGGATTTGTTCTATTTTCGAATTTGCATCTAAATATCACATTTTTCCTGTGTTTGTACCAATGATTATTCATTTTCTTTTGAAGCGCTAGTGGTGGATCTTTATACGACTTGTGTAGATCTGCTTATCTGTGTGATTTTGCTGCAAGTTCAACCGGTTCTCCTTGCGGAGATTTATCCGTTCGTAATTCTGGTGTTTCTAATCCACACACAACAATCCCACAGTCGAAACATCCTGGTTCATTTGATGGATTGCCTGAATCATATATTCGTCAACTACTAACCAGCATCCTTGAAGCTTTGGTCTACATGCATGATACTCTTAGAATGGTTCACTTAGATGTTAAAGTAGGTTTGGAAAAACATCGAAATACAGTTTCTGTTAATTTTAAATGCTTTTAGCTTCAATAAAACTAGGTTTCACTTCACATTGTTATGGAGTGTATAATTTTGCTTTAACTAGATAGTTATCACCAGTGGAGTTGGGAAATTTTAAGTTTTGTCACGAATCAGTCAAACAGTAAAATGTGGAATATTGAATTCCGACTTAGTAGTTTACTGGCTAAGCACCTACTTTAAGACGGCGGTTCTTGGTCCGAGCCCTGCAAAAGGTTGTGGGTAGTCGGAAGTGATAAGTCCGATACTAAAACAAACAACCTATTCTATGCTTCTTGGTCTTCAGTGTACCCCAATTGGTATCAATACGGAATAAAAGCCACCTACAAATTGAAATAATCTCTACAAAAAATTCCATCAAAAATATAATTGAATACTTCGATCCACCATTTGGAACTTATTTTCATACAAAAATTAATCGACATAAAAATTGTTAATTAAAGAGGGTAGCCAAAGCCAAAATAATAATGTTTAATTATTTTTTTTTGAAAATCCTTTTGGTGATATATAGACCCTTTTTACTCATAATTTTGTATTGCATTTTTAGTATTGCATTTAACAGTCGCCTATGTGCTCTTCGGCTAAACGGCTCCGTAAGAACTCTGAAGGATAGAAACACAAGTCGTTGCCTTTTCGTTGTTTCTGCCTACGGTCCCACTGACTGCAGCCCGGATGAAGTGGAAGTTGACTTTTACAGAAAGCTCTCTGAATTTCTTCATAAAGCTAAACACTCAGACATAGTACTCGTAGCAGGTGACTTTAATGCCCAAGTGGGTAGCTTAAACCAGACTTGGAGATATATAGGTGGGTATTTTAGTATTCCGGCTCAGCGAACAGATAATGGTGATCGTCTGTTGCAATTGTGCTCAGACAATCGTTAATTTTTAGCAAACACTAATTTTAAGCATAAGGTGAGATATCGTCTAACATGGCGACCCCCTGCACCAAACCAACGATGGACTCAAATAGTCCATATTGCCATCAGCTATCGTTGAAGAGGCTCGATAGTAGACTGCCGCTCGTTCTGGGATACATGTTTAGACTCTGATCACGCTCTAATACGAGCATGCATTTGCTTGCGCAATACTGGATGCAGAAAAGCCACGATAAGAAGACCCATTAGAGTTGAACTCAGTGATGAGAAAGCCAAGGATAGATTCCAGAAACAACTGAAGTCACACTTAGGTAGACCAATGGATTTGTGCTACATCTACTGCACTGATAGACTCTTGTAAACTTACCCCATCACGCTCCGAACACGATGAAAAGCGAAAACAAGCCAGATCTACGTTAACCAAAAGTCTACGGAACGATCGTGAGCAGTGGTGGGTAACGAAAGCAAAACAGATGGAAAAGACAGCGCCTGTAAGTAACACAAGACAGCTTTTCAGACTAATAAAAGAAACGGAAATTACGAAATCAAGCGTGTGACGGCACTCTTATCTGCTCAGTCTAGACGTTTAGGATTATGGACGGAACACTTTAAGGAGCAGTTCAACTGACCTTCAGCTACTCTCCCCATCCCCGGCCGTACCAGGGCATCCTTATATGTAATCTTTATTTATGCTTATATTACTACCATTGAAGTAACTTGTTCTATGAATTTGGGCTACATCTTGTATTAATGAGAAATAGCAACTTGGACCGATGCGTATATGTGCCTGATCCTACATTTTAGCTGACTGACTGACAAATAATAGGAAATATCACTTATTGAGCCATTTAGACGAGCCTAGGTACATACTTTCGTCTAATCTTGAATGCGATCCAGTGCTCATTCTGAATCCCACTGTTTACTATCACCATTATAATCATCAATTTTAATTACTTTTGTTTTCATACTATTGATGATTATTAAAATATGTTCAAAGTACAAAACCTAGGTTGAATATGTGGATTCTTTTCGTTCACTTTTGCTTATCATAATGATCATGATCATCATCTTTATCAGCATTACAACATGAAATTTATTTACTCCATATTACTAAAAAGCACAAACATTCCATTCTAGGTCATTGTGAATATGTTAATTTTACCCATAAATATTTTCCTCTTTAAACTTTACAAAGTCTGACCTCCCGTGGTTAAAAAAATTTAGGCATTTCAGTCGTTTAATTGTTTAACTATGGGATGAGTTATCGTAAAATATATTGTGCTCGTCACGTAACTAGATTGAATTCTACTTAGGGCTGTGGGTATACTGAATCGATCATAAGCAACGTAGAACATGAAACATACTTTGGTTCAAGTTGACGTACTAAATCAGCTCAGTAAAATGCAATATAGTGATAAACGCCAGAGTAGTAGAAGTAGTAACAGTATCAGTGGTAGTAGAAAAGGTTAAGCATAAATAATATGATTCGAAAATAAGAAGTATGAGATAATTTTAAAACTCATGATATAAGGGAACACAGAGTGAGTGCAGTTCTACCCTTGGTACTGATTCGAAGGGATGTTACACATCGTCTTTAACTATTGGTTACGATGATCGTGAGAACCCCAAACTAGTAGTTGGCATCTACCAACAAGTTTCAGACTAACAGTTAATAACTTCATTTTACTGATGTCACGTTTATTCTCCCCTGGCTTTCTTTTAACCTACTTTTACACTAACAAACATTGGTTGTCGAGGTTGTAGGCGTTTCGGTATACATAATACATGTATCGACCACCTCAGTTGATGAAGATCCTTGATCTCATCAACCAATTTACCACCTTTATTTCCTACTTCGTGTTTAACCTCAGCATTACTAATTCGGTAGTCTCAATGCACACAATCAACGTTCCAGGAAGTATCTATCATGATTTCACTTATTTGTGGTATCTATAAGAGAATTAGAGTGATAATGCATGATATAGATAATTATCAGTATTGACTTTATTGTATATAATGTGTATGTTATTAGCACTGATTTTTATCAAATAAGTGGGATGGTTTACGATTTGCTTTCAATGTAAAACTGTCAACATGTAGGTTATGAATTTATATATATATATATATATATATATATATATATATATATATATATATATATATATAGTAGAATGCTTATCAGCAGATAAATGAAAAAAGAGGAGCAAAGAAAACGAAAAGAATTCGGAATAATAACAGGATCTGAAGAATGATAAAGTTTGTAGATGAAAACTGAAGGAAGATATGCAAATGATGTATCTAATGTATGATTTTCATATTCTCCAAAAGCACTGTGTGATGTGGTTTTTCCTATTGAGTATTCGTTCACTAAATATATACATCAAATTCAAGGTTTTTGTACTAGCCAAATGATATTACTATCCAGCTGCCCATACTGAAGTAGATAAAAGTAAGATTAAAACTTGAAACCTTAATGGTTCAAAGCTAATTGCTTGAATCAATAAAACACCATATTACTATAATCTACATCTTTTTATCCATTTTTCCTCTTCTTTTATCTTGTTCATTTTAATGGGTTTTCATTTTCACTATATTTGTTCTTTTGAAAAGTATCAATAAACTTAAAACTAACCAATTGCAAATCCATCTCAGTCTTATAGGAGATCAGTTGCGGTTCTGATAGCTCAGTGATAACGTCTCTGGCTGTGAAGTCGGGTGAAACGAGGTCGAAACTGTCAGGGAGCATCAGTCCCCTCAAGATTACGGGTAATTCTTGCTGACGAGTGCCAAATAGCAAGAAACCTCAGTCAGGGTTTTCCTGTTGACTAACTTCAACCACCACTTTATCGTGCAACATATTTGTTGGGATCTGATGTATGATTGAAAATGCATTGTTTACACCCACTTGATGTTCCGTATCAGTTGAATGTGCTAGCGCGCAACTTTTAGCTGCCTTTATCAGTCTCTTACTTAACGAGACAATGCGATGGACCTGGATACTTAAGGATTCGATGTAACTGACTTTGTAGTGGCAGTGGAATTGGTAAATGCGCATAGTTGAAGCGAAATAAGGTTGGAATTTCTGGTATCTATTTTATTATTGTTAAACACATTAGCGTAAAGTCATGATGAAAAACCAGTTGCAAAGATGTGCTATAGGGTTGTTATATTTGATGAATATTAACTTTAATGTTATAAAGTAATCAATATTTTACCCATCTACCTATTTCTTTTTTATTAAAGGCTGAAAATCTTTTACTGCGTCAACCCTATCCATCTACTGATGTATTTTTCACAGATTTCGGTTTAGCGACCATATTAACTGAAGGTAAACAACATCGAGAGCTTGCAGGAACTCCTGATTATGTTGGTAAGTGCATTTTTTGTCCTCGCTCTTTCAAAAGTGATATTGATTTTTATGTGAGCTTTATTTGAGCACTTCACTTATTAGATTGATAGTGAAATAACGGAGGGGATATTTTAGTGCTGTTGTGTTCTTGTAGCTAGATTGGTTAACCGTTCAACTTTCATTGTTCTTCTGAGCAACATAATTAGCTCCTACTTCTTGTAGAAGATCATGAATGACAAGTTGTTATTTATTCTTATGTCATATCAGTACCATATTCACTCATGTTTCAAGTGTGGTGGATGCTGCTCACAAGACTACTTGTAATCAATGCGTAGTAGAACTCGACTTTGGGGCTGTCAGTCATCAGACGTCGAGGAGAAGATCAGTTCGTTGAAAGCACGGTTTAGGCAGAATACTTGAAGACCTGACGAGAAGATAGTTCACATAGCAGAACACACTGAAAGATGCAAATAGATGATCAAAAGCTATCTTTACGTACTATGTAAACACTTTGTAATCTCATGCAGTAAAAAGTTCAATTATTCTTCCCATTGTATTGTTCTACACAAGTATGTATTTTTTCTATCGAAATTCCTACAACTTTATCATCTCAGGCTAATCTTTATAAACATTGACTAAATAACTTTTGATATGAATTGACTTATTTATGTAACCAATATAACACACACATACTTATTCTATTGAAAATGTTTATATTAATTTACATTCAATGATTATGTTGTTGAATGTATCATTGGAGTATTTCAGTCCTTTCGACTTTCTACATCACATTTATCAAGAATAGATTTTGGGAATTATTATTTTAACCAGTGATCTAATTGTCTACATTCAAAGTTGGCATTAACTTTAAATAAGTTATTTTAATAGAATAAGACCATAATCATAATGTTAATTCGCTTCGAACAATATATATACTACTTAAATAGTGGACAAATGTTATACAATGTATTATTGGTTTGTAAAGCTGATTATTACTTATCGATCTTTCTTTTCTTTTCACCACAATTTCGATAAGCGTCAGATATTTTAAGCATTGAAACGTAGTTTTACTTATCCTACATTAAGTATGCTGTATAGAATTTGTATTTTAACTAGTACTCAAATGCCCTGGTACGGCTGAGAGTGGGGAGAGTCCACTCTCTCTCTCCAAATGCTCTCACATGACCACGCGTATATAGCTTATACCAGGAAAGTCCTACTCACTGCCTTATCGTGGCATTACTGTTGTTTACAAATTGAGAAGACGAAAAGCGAATGTCCGGCGCATTAACCGGGTCAGTGGACACGGAAAATTCACCTAGGGGAGTTGGAAAACACTGATTACAAACCAATGGTGCACATGATCTCCAGTATCCTGGGGGAACAAATAACGTATGAATCAATCGATGGTCACCGGCTTCCATGGGACTGCATCTCCTCACGATGCTCCACTACCTTGTAGATCAGATCTTTCGGTCAAAGGCTCCAGGTGTGGCCTCCTAAGAAAACCACCTGCTTCGGTTTGGGCACCTGGGCAATATCACATCCATCACACAAATCAAACGAGATTTGTGTGGCGTATATGTGTCTGGTGCCCTCTTGTACCAATATTTATGTGTTTAAAGAAATAAATAACCATTATATTCTTTAACGTTTGAATATCTGATAACCGACGAAATGATTACTGTTTGTTAAAGATTAAATACATACGTGTAACTATAAGTTGGAATTGCAATATGTATAAATTCCGTTTTTAGACTATTGAAGTACAATTGTGAATAAGATTTCTGTAATTACTCAGTAATGCTTATCATCATCACCATCAATGTTTATATTTAAATATATGAATTCGTGAGAACCTTCAATGAAATATGGGCAAATTATAGTATAGGGCACAAGCATAGAATAACGTTAAAGTCATCCTGTAATTTTGATGTTAATTGTTAATCAATAAACAGATTTACTTACTTACTCCTGTTATCCCTAGTAAATGAGCATAGGCCGCGCACCAGAACCACTGAACAGAGAGTCTGTGTCAGTCAGTCAGCCACAACTTAGGACCAGGCACGTTTATGCATCGGTCCAAGTTTCCATACCTCTTTAGCACAACAACATGAACACTGAATTCATAGAAGTAGTTAATTTAGTGGTGGTATTATATAAAAGAAACGTTTTATATAAGGATATAGTATAGGAAGAAAGAAAGATATGAAGCAATTTTAATCTCAAGGTTTAAGGGAAGATAAAGAGTGTATACACCTGTGTCATTGTGATCGATTCTGAGTCATATCACACAGAGCCTCAAACCATAGGTTACGATAGTCACGCGGACCTCAACCAGGTAGTTTGCATCTGCCAACATGGTTCCAACTAGAAGTTAGTGACTTCAAGCACTGATTTCAGTTTTGGTTTGGTGACCCCTTACTCATTTCCAACTATCACCTACACTAGTCAGCATAGCGCGTCGTGTCTGTGTAAATCAAATTATTTTACTACAGAAGTAAATATACCTGTTGCGATTTAGTGGTTTTAAGAAGTGTACTAGTTTTTAAGTGTTAATTATCAGTTTTGTGATTAGTTAATACTTCTAGAAAAAAAAAAACAAACTAAATTATGTTATACATGTTTATATCAAGTTTGTTATTCAAATGATACTTTGTCCAGTAGTTAGATTGATTGAACTTTATACCATTAAAGTGTACTTGTTATCAGGTTAGGATTGAAAAAAAGTAAGATAAACAATTTTTCATGAAATAGTCAAATATACCCTAATTATAACTCTTTAAAATAATTACACCACATGAATATCTATCTATCTATTTATACCTTTCTTCATGCTAGGTTAGTAGAATTTCTAATTTGTTTGTTTTAGTTACGAAATCGAAAATCAGTTTCTATGTACTATGGGATATATATGTATACGTAAATGTATACAATGATAACTGTATTTGAAAACTTGTGATTTCGGTAAACAGTTGAAAAAATAACTGTAACGATGAATTTAAAATTATCTAAATTTATAGGCTAGCAGTGAAATCCGGGATGCGTGTTTCGTCCTACTTAGGACTCGTCAGTTGTATGTACCTACATCCGGGATTCGAACCAGTTGCTGTTCACCTCAAATACCATTGAGTTATTCAATTAACTACTAAGTTTAGAAAACCACTAGCTTGTGCAGTGCGGTGAAGTTTTAATTCATTTTAGTATTGGTTGTTTGAGTCTTCCTATTGATGTTTAGGACTGCAATTGATCAGTTTCATCTAAATTTATACATACTGAATAGGATACAAAGTAATAAATTAGAAAAAAGATAATAGTAGGCATTCATCTTCTCTAATTGTCCAATATTTTGATTAGTATGAAATTTGAATTACACTGAATTCAGATTTTTATAAGCATAATAACATATATTTTAATTAGTTGAGATCATGAGTCAATTGAAGTTAGACCATCATGGAAAACCTGGAACTACTCATAATCTCAACTATATAAAACTACTAAAATATCCACAAAACCCCCTTCTGATATATTTTAATTGTTATTCACATGATTACTTCAGTAACATCAGTAGCATTCTTCAAGTTCTCTTGATATTATTAATAATTTTTTAAACGATATTGGTAAAAGACTAATTCAAAAGCCTGGGAATATGTGATAATTGTTTAGATGATTTAGGGCAATAATATTTGTTACAGATTGAATGATTGAAACTTATCTATGGTGCCTGATACAATCAGTGGTAATGAAATAATTGTGATTCACTATCTATCACTTTTCTAGAATTAAGTGAACCATACAGAAGTTAGATATTTATCGTATTGGCTATGCATAGGAGTATTTGTTTATGCACTGATCATATCTCCTACTGTTCACAGATTCATTTAATTCTTTTGTGGTTAGTAAAGCATTCGTCTTAAATCAGTCAGTCAGTCAGTCACAACGTGGAACGTACGTACATCAGTTCGAGTTGCCATACCACATTAGTACAGAGATGCAGTTGTCCATTCAAATCCCATAGTCGTACAAGTAGTATGAGTATAAGTATTAGGGTTTGAAGATGTCGTTGAAGGAGTATAATTCAGTGAAGTAAATTTGGAAAGAGAAAAAAAGATGGAGACATGAAGGATTCAGAAGATTAGAATTTGGTAGAACACAAAGACTGGATGCACCTACGCCACTGTAAACGATTTTGAGCCATGTCATTCAAGGTCTCTAACCATCGATTGCTATCATCTCGCGAATCGCAACCAGGTAATCTACACCTACCAACATGGCTCAGTCCACTTGTCAGTGACTTCATGGATTTATGCCACGTTTTGGCCTGACCGCCCCTATCTTTCTTCCAACCTACTCCTACACCATGAAACATTGCACATCACTATCAGATCTTAGATGATCACTCTTTTAGACCAGAAAACATTGAACAGTTGTTTCATTCTAGTACAGGGTTTCTTAAGAATTCCTATCCACGATCACACAGTGGATCGAACCCCCGGATATCACATCAAGCACTTAACCTTTAGATCGTCGGACCTAGTGTTCAGGGACTTACGTATCTAATTTCAATCAATAGGCCATTTATTTATTTATTTAAACACATAAATATTGGTACAAGGAAGCACCAGATAAATATGCGCCATACAAATCTCTTTCGATTTGTGTGAGGGCTGTGATACTGCCCAGGTGCCCGAACTGAAGCAGGTGGTTTTCTTAGGGGGCCACACCCGGAGCCTTTGACTGAAAGATCTGATCCACAAGGCAGTGGAGCATCGTGAGGAGATGCAGTCCCATGGTAGCCGGTGACCAACAGTTGGTTCATAGGCCACTCGTTCCTTTAGGATAATGGATCCCATATGCACGATTGATTTGGAATGAGGGTTTTCCAACTCCTCTAGGTGGATCCTCCACATCCACCAACCCGGACATTCGCTTTTCGTCCTCTCACTTTTGTGAACAACACCCCCGCCACGAGAAGGCAGTGAGTAGGACTTCCCTGTCAGAGGCTATATATTCGCGTGGCC